TAAACACTAAAATGGCAGATAATATATGCAAAAAAATCCAGGCAACAAATAAAAAGATAGTGTTAGTAATCTACGGAGAGTTCTTCCAAACCGACCAGAAAATGAAAAGAAGAGGAAGCGTCTCAGGAGACCCCGAAGCTGAGCCCTGGTCACCTGGGAAGTAGATCTRGGGTTCAGAGTCCTGAGTGTGTGGGTGCTGGGTGGAAACGTGGACCTTCAGTCTCGAGTGTCCCTAGCCGTTGGGGGCCTGGAGGCTGGGAGGGCCAGGGTGTTGGCTGTAGGGCCTMGTGGGCCCCACCAACTCAGGTGGCGTGGTCCCAGCCAGCACCACCAACAGGTGGCTTGGCTCTGCTCAGAAAGTGGTGCTCCCGCGGGGTCCACTGGAGTCCCACCGTGTTCCACTGAGGTTCTGCTCCTGGAGTTATTTAGATGGAGATGGAGGTGAAGCATCAGCTCCCACTCAGAGCCATCACTGCGGATATGAAAAGGATCTGAGGATATTTTGAAGAGCTTTATGTTAATAAGTGCGTCAATGATAAAGAAATAGAGAAATTCCTGAAAGACAGGCATGACCGYGGCTCTCCAGTGGAGGACTTCTTACGGGGACAGCCCTGGGCTCATGCACGAGGAGAAGTGGCCCAGGCCGCTTTCCTGACCAGTCCCACCAACCACTAAGGAAGATCAGCCCAGCTCTAAGGCGCGTAGAGAACACTGTGATTTGGATGTGTCCTTKGGGTTCACCAGTAAGAAAAGGCCTACGGGTGGTGATTGGCATCAACCGAGGTCCTGCGAGACGGCCCCAGAGAAAACGAGTGACCTTATAAGACAAGGAGGACATTCACCAGCCAGCACCCTTGCTCTGACTTGCCACATGGTGCCCTCTGCCACGTCACGGTGCAGCAAGAAGCCCACCAGACTCTGAGCAGATGCTGGTGCCATGTTCTTGGACTTCCCAGCCTCCAGAACTGTGAGGCCCACAAAATTAGATTCTTTACAAATTATCCAGTCTCAGGTATTTTGTTACAGCAACAGAAAGGGGACTTAGATATAGGATAATTAGAGAAGAGGAAGAAATCCTTCCCAATCCATTTCTGAAGTCAGGAAGTCCTCTGAAAGGAAAACCCAACCAAGATATCACCAAAAAAGTACAACCACAGTTTTCCTTCATGCACACAGATGCAGAAATCCTCAAGGGAAGGCGAGCAGGTTGAATCCAACCATAGATAAAAGGATGCTCCATCATGGCTGGCTACATCCGCTCCAGGAGTGCAAGGTGCATTTAACACTGGAAGATCAAACAGTGTCATTTCTGATGCCTGCAGATTGAAAAGCAGAAAAGCCTGATCGTCTCAAAAATATTAGGAACTGTTTGAGAAAATCCAACACACGTTTATCATAAAAACTCAGAGCACACTGGAAGTGGAGCGGAGCATCTCCAGCCTGACCAAAGCATCCACAGGGAAGGTCCACCTTAGTACCATGTGAACCAGTGAACAGGCGCTCTCCCCAAGCCCAGGTGAGCACAGGGCCTTCAYACCCCCTCTACAGCACGGTAGGGTGATCACAGGCGAAAAGGAGAAAAGCATCCACAGAAATACATTAAGTAGAGAATTCTCAGGAATCTTTAAAAAAAGAAAAACCTAATGAAACAGATTTAGCAAAATTTCAGAATATAAAGTCAAGTTTCTAAAATGCTCTATGTTCCCGCAGACTAATGATGGAGAATTCACATGGAAATCGAAACATGCGTGTGTGTTTTATATGTGAAAAACATCAATCACTCAAAATTTAGAGGTAAATTTAATGAAATATGGGCATGACCTGTATGTTGAAAACCACAAGATTTCGCTGAGGTAAGGGTTAAAACAACCACCCCTCGTCTCGGGGAGCCTGCCATCTAGTGAGGATGGGTGCTGTGTAAGATGGAGGAGTGAAATGTGTCTTGTCTTAGATGAGGATGGGGTCTAGGACTTAACCCAGAAAAGGCCATTATAGAAAATTGGTGGCACAGCTCTTTGTTCTCTGCCTATGGCCGTCGGGGGACAAGGAGGTGTCACTTAGAGGTGGGTTTGAGGAAAATCTAAAAGGACGGGGGCACCAGAACATTCCGGCCAGAGGAAAGTAGGCTCAGGGTGGGGGCCCTGCGTGGCCTGGGCAGGTGTGGAGGCAGGCATGGGGGCGGAGTGGGCGGAGGTGGACAGGCTGGGAGGGGGCAGCCAGGCAGTGCCTACAGTGCTCCTCCAGTGGGGTGGGAAGCCGTGGGAGCTGGGCGGTGACTTCCACACCCGATGATGGCCCTGATGGCTGTGGTGGGACCGGACGCCGTGAGGGCAGTGAGGGTCTGGAGAGCCGGAAGTTCACTGCAGCATCTCAAGAGCAGTGCCCAGCCTCGGGGTGGGGGCCTGTTCTGCCTCGACAGGAGACCAGTAGTGATTTCTGACCGCTGGACAGGGGGCGTGCAGAGCAGAGTGAGGAAAATAAGGCCGTCAGCCACCAGACATGGGTGCTCCCCCTGGGGGGGAGGCGGAAGATTCCAGAAGCTGGGCTGGGGACGGGGCTGGGGAATGCATGGCGATGCCCCCTGGACACCAGGAGAGCTTCAGGGAGGCAGTCAGATCTGCAGTCTGGGGTCCAGGTCAGGCCCGCCAGGTGCAGATGGCCTGGAGGACGCTCAGCGGAGCCTGGTTTTTAGGGCCTGGAGTCTGGATGCCGTCACCTAGGAAGTGGTTCTTACCTGAGGAGTGAGGGGCCCCAAGTGTTAGTCTAAGGTCAGGGAGACCAAGGGAAGCAGGAAAGAGCCGGGAGGGAGGCCCAAGGCCAGGGCAGATGCCGAAGGGGCTTTGCGGAGGGGTGTGTTGGGGGTGAGCCAGGAAGCTGGAGAAGAGCAATTTTGATTGGCAGGTGAAACAGGAGAGTGGGTTTGAGAGAAAACAGGGGGTGAAATCGGGGCACGGGAAACAGCTCTCGAGGGGTGGCGGGGGCGGGAGGGGGAGTTTCTGAGGACAAAACCCCGTCATCTGCACCAGAGATAGGGAGCCAGCGCCCTGTGGGAGGGGACATGGGCCCTCGGCCGTCAACGCAGCACCCTCTAACACCCTTGGGCCACACTGAGGTAGAGCACCTGTGCGCCCAAGGATGGAAGCCTCTGGACATCACAGGGGGTGCGAACGCCCAGCGTGTGTTTGGAAAGCAGTCAGGCAGGAGGTTGAATCAAAAATGAAAACAGCAAAAAAAAATCCTTGACCCTCACTCCCAGCCTTGGTGGCTGTCCTACAAACTCCCAGTCTTGGACGGCTGTCATCCCACAGAGTTTAGACCCCTCAGGGAGGGCCCTTGGCGGTCCTTCTTCACAGGTTGGTGATTGCTGCGGTCAGGAGGCACCGTCCATCCCTCTGGTGTCCTGAGCCCCAGGTCTGTATCTGCAGATTCGCCTTCGTGACCAAATTTATTTGTATCCCCCACAGCACACACTCCTGCCGTCCTCCAGCTCAGCGGGAGGAAAGGGGGGGGCGTCTGGGGCTGGGGCTCCGGCTGAGCCTGCAGGAGGCTCTGCCGCCTACAACTGTGYGTGGTGCACTCGCGGGTGTCCTGTGGAGCGCTGGGCCTCTCCACCTGCTGTGTTCTTGGGCATGTCCACTGTTAAAAGGGCCCCCAGGCAAGGGCTGAGGTGCCTTCCAGCATCCTGGGTAGCAGAAGGAGTGATGTGTCTCACAGAAAGCACCCTGTGGTCAGCCTCACTGGGCGCCGTGGCCCAGGGTCAGTGCCCGGGGCCAACAGCATGCCAGAAGCACACAGAAGGCCAGGCCAGGCCTTGGTCAGTGTCACTGGGCASGGGAAGGCTGGCTGGAACCCAGGCCCGTGATTCTCCCAGGAGCGATGGCTCAGTGTCCAAACTGTGTTTCTGGTGACTTCGTGGGGTGTGACCACCAAGAGGAACAAGACTGCCCCCGTGCGCGAGGACCGAGTGAATGAGTGCACCTGTGGCGAGGGTGGTGTCAATGAGCGCCACTCCAGACAGACCAAACCCCTGTGTGTCACCACCTCCAGGGTCTCGCTGCATCAGGAAACAGCAGTGTGACGTCACCTGCCCTGTCTCCCTGCTTCCTGGTGTGGTCACCTGAGCACGTACAGAGTGACAGCAGCGAGGACGCCTGGCCGAGGCCAGGCAAAGTGACGTGGTTGGTGACCACCTGTTATGCAGTGAAGACATATGACATAAAAAGTGACACCAAGTCCTCTGTGCTAACTCGTGGGGACGCCCACACAGGGTCAAGAAGGGTGCCGAGGCGCATGTGCCACGTGGTTCTGTTTTAGTGGCAACTCTGCGTGATACCTGCTGCTGGGTGTGAGAAGGAAGCAGAGGCGCTCTCCCAGGCCTGCAGGGGGGGTTCTGCCAATGAAGGTGGTTTCTGAGCTTGGGTCTCTCCGTCTGCTTTGGTAGACACAGTCACCATTGTTCTGTTGAATTTTGAAAAAAAATTGGAAAAGCATCAGTGAACTAAATGCTGTTCTGCTAGCAAAGAAAGGCTGCGCCCAGTTTTTCTTTTTCCACAGTTTTGCTGGTGCCACGTTGATGTACACAAGGGTGGGAGTGGTTGTAGGTTCACACATGCACACGTGGCCAAGGTCATCCCCAGGATCCCCCCTCCGTCCCCTTCCTCTGCCCACCTCCCCTGTAGCCTCCGTCTGTGAGAGAAGACTATGAGCCTTGCCCTTCTGAGTTTAGCTACTTCATGTAACATCAGTTTCCCAAGTTCCCTCCATTTCCCTGCAGATGACRTGATCCCATTCTTCCTCATGGCTGAGTGACCTCATGGTGTGCACGCTACTCCACTCTCTACCCACCCATGCTGCCATCTTTAGTAGATACCGGCCAGGTGGCTGCTCACCAGTTTCACTGGCAGATTTTGAACATGGCATCATCAGAGTGTTYTACTACAGGATTCTGAGTTGTGACCTACGACACTCTATAAATAATTCTGTTTTTCTTTGTCTTTCAGGAATCATTAAGAGCCATCAGATACGAAATATCTCCAGATAAAAAATATGCCCTTTTTTCGTACAATGTGGAACAAGTGAGTACCTCCCTTTTCTGTCTACAAAAAAAAATCCACATCTCTGTTCTGATGCCTCATTGAATATATTTCCTTGAACCTTWCTCTTCCTGAGTTTTGAGTCCTGAAATCCTCTGTGGCCCTGGGGTTGTGTCATACTGCCACCTAGGAGAGACGGAAGGTACAGAAACTTCCTGGGCAGAGGAAGAGACTCACTTAGGAGCGGTCTCTCAGGTCCTCTTGGGAGATGGCCTCGACCCAGAGGTCCACCTCTCTTGGCTGGGCACCCTTCCTGCATTATGTGAAACCCTGCCCTCCACCCTGACAACAGAAGGCACTTCCATCCCCCACACACGGAGTGCATCGCCTCCTGGTGCCCTGCTTGGAGAGAGCGGCGCTGTGGCTCCCATGTTATAGAAACACTGTCCTCGGCACTGTGTATTGATGTCTCATCAGATTCTGCCAGAACTCTCTGTGAATCTCACCCTGGGCTCGAGAAGCAGCCTCAAGCTCCMGAGCCTGGGTCTTTTTTCCTTCTTTCCTCCCTCCTTCCTTCCTCCTCCTCTTTTCTCTCCCAACTTTGTTCCTCCAAATGTAGTTTTTGAATCTGACTTGAAGGCTCTATTACTTGTTGGGTGTTTCAGATTYACTCCTCCAAGTGCAGACTTTTTCAGTTCCGTGTCCAGTTTGTTGGTTTATTTTTGCTCTCTAGAACGTCTGTTAGCTATAAGAGTCTGGATAGAGAATAAAAACAGAGCATCTTGGTCTGTTGGACTGGGTGCAGTTGGTGAACCTGACACCCTCCAGGGCCGTGGCTAGCTTTGGGACGCYGCGTCTCCTGTGCTCACCCTCAGCTGGCTCTGGGTGTGGAGTGCCTGGGCACCGCGTCCGGGCATCCCTAGATGGTGCCTGTGTCATGTGCTTTGCCTCCCTTGGAAACCCCCCAGACCGTCACTGTACACCCGAGTAAGGGACGACTTCAGCAGAAGGACTGTCCTTTGGCTGCCCCAGGAGGGGGCAGTTAGATGCTCAGAAGGCTCGAGGTTCTGTAGCTAGACAGTCGCTTAGTCACCAGAGGACCCAACAGTGGGACCCAAACCTTGTGAGGTCATGAACATCCTGTTCCCAGGAGCCTTGGGAATGAGTCCCAGGCTGGTTCCTTGCACTTTAAGAATCTGGGAAAAACACAGTTGTCGAGTAGGTTTGAGAAAGAGTCAGCCCAAGCACAGATTTCCATTTTCTAGTCTGAGACACTTGCCTGCAGGGTGGAAAAATCATCCAAACCATGTTTTTATTGTTGTGGTCCAGACTTACAGTTGGCAAAGTGTGTTGCTTTCCAATGTCTTGTTTCTTCTCAAAAAAATCATTGCTGCYCCAAAGAACTAATGTTTGCTAAGTGAGTTTGTTTTGTTCTTTGTAGATAAAAAGTCTTATCATTTCATAATGTACAGAATCTGGAGGATTCTCTTGAAACTCAGCTAGATGGGGGAACACTAACTTTTATCTTGAAAACCATCCTAACTACTAACTGGTAAAAATTGCCTTGAAATAAACTTATTTAATTAGAACATCATGTTCCTTCATGCTGAGGGATATTTGACAAACACAGTTTTCAAAACTCTTTGGGGGAAGAAAAAAAAAAGGAATTTTAAAATGCAATATTTTAGATCATTTAAAAATATTAATGCATTTTGTGGTTTTCTAAAAGGAAAGAGAGATGATAACTGGAAAATATTTTTCCTTTAGAGAATAAGAATAAAAAGCCCCTGAACATGGTGAAGAATCTCCCGCAGAGTTTAAAGGCGTGAATGTGGGTCTCTTCTGTGGCCGGTGGAGCTTTGTTCTGTTCCAAACAGCTTTCCCCCCAAATCTCGTCTAAATCGAAGCCCAGTTGATGGCCTGGTCATTGAGTTGGAGAATGGTTGGCGTGGGAYGGATCTGTTCAGCTCTCTGCTGCTGCACAGCCAACCTCCCACCCACAGTGGCCTGCYGCACGCAGCATCAGTGTCGCCTGGCCTCTGAGGGTCAGGACCTGGGTCAGCTTAGCGGCTCCTCTGACCCAGAGGCCTTCCCAGGACTGCAGGGGTCCACGGGGTAAGGAGCCGCCTCCAAGCTCCCTGTCCCTCAGGAACAGGACTCGGCTCCTCCTGCACTGTGGGCTCCTGGCCCGATCCCTGGCCACAGAAGCCTCTTCAGAGGACAGCCCCAGACATGGCCACCTGGGAGCAGTGAGCCAGTGTCAGCAGGGTGGATGCCACAAATTCAATGACCTAATGTCAGATGTGGTATGCCCACGTGTTCTGTGGGTCAGAAACCAGTTCCAGGTCAGCCCACTCACCAGGCAGCAAGACCAGGGTGGGGGACCCTGAGCCCTCTCCGATGTGGCCTCCCCCACCACCAGGGTCCTCGCGGGAGGGCCTGTCCTCACGTTTGCCTGGTGCCTGACTGTCCTGCGTCTGCTCCACRGACGGGCTCTGTGCCTGCAGACTGTGACGAGCCCCTTTCTTTCTCACGTGGCCCTAGAGTTCCATGAAGGGAGAGAGGCAGGGGGTGAGCACAGCCAGGCCTTGAGAGAGGCTGGGCAGGAGTCGGGGGCACCGGTCCCCTGGCTCCTTGGTGACACTTAGCTGGGYGGGGCCAGACAACTGCAGCCTGTGTATCAGAGAAGTGGAGATAATGGGCCATTCCCTCGTGACTCAGGGGTCTGTGAGAGCCAGGGGGACAATCAGCTGTCTGAGTTCTGTACACATTCAACAGATGACGCGAGAAGATGCCCAGCCCAGATCTGATAAGCAGCCAGTTCTCCAGACTGTCCTCCTATGGCCATTGTGCACTCAAGCTGAGCAGAGATCCTGCCTAAGCCCACAGAATGTGCAGTGCTGCTGGGACTCTCTCAGGAGCCCAGAGAAAGACTCATTCTATTGTGTGCTCATTACCTTCAGAACCTCAAGTTCAGCCATCAACGTATGTAGGTACATTTCCCTTGGTGAACTAGTACATTTCCAAAGGTTGTTTAGGTCGTCGATGAAAAGGAGGGTTTCCTAGGGGGGTCCCCAGTGCAGCCTCCTCCTCAGGGCAGCCTCCTCCTCCTCAGAGCAGAGGTCCCAGTGCAGCCTCCTCCTCCTCAGAGC